CTGCTCCCCTACCCCAGGCGTCCACAACAAAAGCCTGGTCTTCTGGGGGGAGGGGGCGCACTAGTCGCCCCCCCCCCCCAGCAGACCAGGGAGACCCGGAGCAAGGCTGCGGGGGCGGCAGGGTCCCGCACCTCTGCAGCTTTGCTCCAGGTGTCCCTGGTCCGCTGGGGGGGGGTCCCCAGCAGACCAGGGACACCCGGAGCAGCTTTTCTCACCCCAGAGGACACGGTGGCGGGACCACTGCGTGTCTGGGTGGTCCCGCCGCCCGCGAGTTCCGGGGCGAGAAAAGCCCCGTTCGTAAGTGCGGATCCGACTTATGCGGGACTGCCTGTATTGCATAAAGAGAGCTTTTAGGCAGCAATATTTTTCTTCCACAGCAGCTTTGTGAACTGTGTTCAGTTACTTGCAAGACCGTGGTCCATTTGGTTTCTAAGAGGATCTCATTAAGAATGAGGTTAATGTTGCTTGGAACTATTTTTTCCTTCAAGGCACCACAACTTCTCAGTTACCTCTTTCCTATAGATAATAATATTCATTGTCTGAAATGTGTACTCTCATATGTGCAGATACAGCATTCTTAAAGTTTTTAATAGCTAGACTCTGCATAAAGCTAAGGAAACACAATCCAGTATATAGAACTAGTATAATGAGATTCTGCTCTGGATTAGATTTTTGTCTGCATTTGTGGCCTAAAGTTCTCTAATCCTTTTGAAATGGAAATCATACAGCTATAGGAGATGAACATTTGCTTGAATACCATTATGCCTGACTGATTATATTGGGTCTCCTTTAAAAGTCATGATTAAGGACATGAGCTGAACAGGGTAAATCATGCTCACTCTGGTAGCACCATCCTCTAATTAAAACAATCCTTTGTAATTTTTAGACACATTTTTACATAACCCAGCCATTGCTCTGGTTATGTAGTAAAAAGACGTGAGATAGAAAACTGAGGCACACACGTACACATACACTGCTCAAGAAATGTATTATTCAGATAAAAAAGGCTGCGTCTTGATTGGCATTATTTTCCGGAAATGCTTTTAACAGAAAAGTTTTCCGTTAAAAGCATTTTCGGAACAGAGCTTCTAGATTGGCACGGACGCTTTTCCACAAAAGCACTTTTTGCAGAAAACCAGCCGTGCCAATCTAGACGCGCTTTTCCGCAAAAAAGCCCCAATTGCCATTTTCGCAGTCAGGGCGTTTTTGCGGAAAACAAATCTGAGCTGTCTACACTGGCCCTTTTGCACAAAAACTTTGCGCAAAAGGGACTTTTGCCTGAACGGGAGCAGCATAGTATTTCCGCAAGAAGCACTGATTTCTTACAGTAGGAAGTCAGTGTTTTTGCGGATATTCAAGCGGCCAGTGTAGACAGCTCGCAAGTTTTTACGGAAAAGCGGCTGATTTTCCAGAAAAACTGGCCACACCATATGTGAAAATTAGAGGGAGCTGATGTTTCCACCAAACCTGACAGCATCCCTGTATGCAAGGTCAAAAAGGCCAAAGGTTAAAACCCAGATCTTGTACACTAGTCATAAACGGACTCCATTTCCACGCAGAGCCCCATTGATGTCATTGGGACTCCATGCTGTGCAGGATTAATGTGAGCAGGCTTCGGCCAACGAGCATTAGTCTACAACTGAATTGAGCCTTTCATCTCTGACATAGCCAGAGTAGCAGCCCCAAATTTTAATGTTCTAAAAATGTTCTCTGAGTTGAGTAAAAGCCATCATTCTAGCACAGCCGTTTGATAGCCAGTTCCTGCTTGCCACTGAAATCAATAGGAATTAAACTATTGGATTTCACAGGAAACAGGGCTAAGCCCTCACTGTTTAAGAAACTCTTAATTCTGGTGGTGGTGCTCTGTTACCAAGATCTGAAGTGACATGCTGGTTAAGCACTGTAAAATATAATAAAAATGTCCTCAGTAACTGGCAGGAGGGACCTCAGTGCTATACCCCTCAGTTCTGTAACTTTTTTTTAATGGAGCGTATACTCTAAAGTGCTAAAACTTTGTTCCCACCATTCTTCTGCAACACTGTTTAAAACATAGGCACTATTTTAACAGTGAAAGGGGAACAGCAGAACTGTTGCTGATGACACCTTGTTAATATGAAGGACCTTTTGAAAAAGAGGAGGAAATTTGGTGAAATTGAAATGACAATTGTGTTCACTGACTTCATCCTACATGACAAACCTTTCCGCGCTGTCACCGGTGCTTTACATTTTAACAAACCTACAGTATTCCAAGGTTGAAGAGATGAAAACATTTTGAAAGGCCAAAAAGCTTTTGCACTGTAAACAGGTTTTCTCAGGCAGTTGTCTCAGCATACCAGCTGCACAGTCATTCTCAAGTTTTCTCTTGTAAGCATAACAGCAAAGGAGAATTAAGTGAAAAGGGCAAAGTTTTGCTCACTTTTCTCAGATGAGTCCT